GGGCGGTACAACGAGGTTTGGCTTGTGATTCTATGCATCTGAATAGGCTGATTAGCAAAGACAACTACTGACAACTTTTTTCCCTGTAGTAGGGAATGTGTATAATGCGCTGTTATAATATACGGTGTTCCAAAAGTTCTGTCACACCCGTTATATTTCGATAATTTTCGCGAAAGCGTAATCATTGCAGACAAAACGAAAAAGTATTACTTTTGAAACTTTGAGACTCCTCGTGCATGCGGAGACGAAAGAAATCATAAACCAGAAGTAGTATGTAGGCAAACTGTAAGTATTATTTTCTCAGGATATACGTTGACCACAAAGCATTATACACACACAGTTTGCTTTGAATGGCACAGACAAAGTGCAAACACACGTTACACACTATTAAAATAATAAGTGCTTTTAACATTTGGGGCATTTATTCACATGATTTCAAAAATAAAAAAAACTGACAAACGAAGGACGTGAACGCGCTTAGTAAATGATGAATTCTGGAAATGCGTTTTCTGTTGTTGCAAGACCTATAAATATGTGCAGAATAACTATCTAGCGCTTGAATATGCGTTTTAACACCACTATAGTGCGGTCAAAAATTCGTGGCGAAACTTATTGTCCTGTATTTCCTAAACTCTAAAACATAGATTCTCCATCTTTTGCACAATGACGTGCATCAATTTGTCTTAACTGACTAATATTTTTGTAAACATCTGCTAGCTGTTTTCTAGAAAACTCCTTAATAAATACTAATAAAAAATTCAAGTGGGTGGTTTCTGCCGATTTTTAAATGTTTACAGCTGGGGCAATATCGCTATTAAAAGCAAGTCCGTCATTTTTTTTCTAATCGTGACTCTATTTTTATTGAACGCATGTTTTGATAACCTTCAGTGCAAACATGTGTTCACGTTAAAATTAATTTCCTGTAACAAGTTTTGCTCTAAAAAGAGTCATTAATGAGCTGTGATGTAGGCCATATGCGTATGCTAAATGTGTGTGAGAAGCAGGAAGTGCTGTGAACAATCCCATTTTTCGCGTGAGGGAGATTTGTAGACTAGTATTTAAAAAAAAAATTTATGAAGAAAAGTTTTTAAATCTAGCCCCAATTTTACTGGAAAAATATGATTTATTTAAGAAAAATTGATACAAACTGCTGTGCAAAGTATGGGTGACATTGATTCACCTGTTAAAGAGATATTTGAGGATAAGTTGCGCCACGAATTTTTGACTGAACTATAGAACTGTCCAAAACAGGCCTAGACGTGGCCTACCAAGGGCAACAACTCGACATCTAAATTGGGTTATTGTCAACACTCATGTTCGAAACCTGTTCTAACTTAGTGCACAGTCTGACAGGTACTTCGGACTATCTTAAAACACCATTATTAGACGGTCACGTGGTCCTGGACTACGAGATTATCACTCTTTATGTTTCGCCAAGAAATCGCCAAATTTGAGCGCAGCAATATTGGTGATGGAACCAAATACGTTGGTATAGCTTTCTATTCAGCAATGGTCCAGGTTTTTAATTCATTGCCCTGATGGAAGAGAAAAAGTGTTGAAAAGAAGAGGATAGAGATGTTACAAAGACAACGTCCGCCAAGTGGACCGATTCGGTGGCTGAAGTGCAGTGGCAAGGGGTGGAATCTCTGTTCTTCATCGTACACATTTGGTCACTATTCAAAGCAACCTCAAAGGACGAAGACATTATGACGGAATTCTTCGACACCGTGTCCTTCCCTACATGGCACAGCTGATGGAATGTGCCAACAAGACAACTCATTACCCCACGTCAAAACTCCTTCCAAACTCGTCAAACCAATGTTCTGAACTGGCCTGCAAGATTAACAGGCCTCAAAGAGAACGACTGCAAGACGACCTTGACTGGAGGATTAGAAACGAGCCACACCCCGTGCAAACTCGTCTGAAACTGAAGGCTGCAAGTCACAAGAAATAGTAGGCGATTCCTCAGGCGCTCATAAGGATACTTATTCAGCCAATGAACGAACGTTTTGTAGCAGTTAATTAGGCTGGAAGAGGCCTTACGCAATATTGCACAAACTTTGATTTGGGTTTTACAATGGTCAATGTGAATAAAATGATCTTCCTAGAATAGGAAAAGACAATGGCCAGTTCTTTTCTAGTCATGTTGGCAGGAAATGGATGAAGATCATCTTACCAAATTTCGCTTGGCTATGTAGGATAGTAAATGAGTTATTGTACTTTGAAGATGGATGTGACAGAACTTTTGCAACACGATATATGTACTGGGCGATGACTGGATCATCTTCATGTCTACAAAAGGGTATTTAAAAAATAGGTATTCGGTATTCCTTTTAGGGTGAAGCAACAATCTATCTAAACTCTGAACCAACCTCAATACCACCAATGGAAATAATGTTAATGATATACATGTAGCAGCTATCGCAAATCCACGCCTGGAGTGGTCGTTGATTAAATAGTTGTTGAATCAGCTGGGTCAGGGGCGGTCAGTTGTCATTCGTTGGTATATTGTTCTAAATAAAGGTTAGAATGTTCTGTCGGTTATAATAAATATCCTTGTCTCCGAAATTCAAACTTCCTTTTTGCTTTTTTTTTAACGTCACAATTCAGGCATGAGTGAAATGGACTATGTCATTGAATGGAAGCCTTTATCATTTCCGTTTGAATTCCCATTTGCACCTGTCTGGGTCTATGTTTAAAAGTACGAGGATTGATGTAGAGTCTTCTATGGCACGATCGACAGAATTTAGATCCTCTGTCAAGTCCGACTCCCGCTGAGTTGGAAGCATTACCCAACAGAAAGTGGTAAATCCCGAAGCGGTATTTCCTCAATAGATTGACCCCGGAGAAAATTGAACAAACACATTGATTTTGTAAGCAAAGGCAAATAGTTCAACCCTTATACAACACTCGTGGGTCAAAACCATCATTATAGCTTGTTTACCTTCGTCTGTCTAGCTCTTATATGAATCTTCCAAACCGCACGAAACTTTGCACGGCGCTCCTGTACACCTGTGAGCAAGAGGAAAAATAATATTTAGAAAAAATCCTGGTTCAGTAATTAGATAGTTTCCTTATTTTGGCCCTATATTAAATATTGGCCAATGTGTGCATGCCCAGGATCACTGCAATAAATGATTTGCAATAACTTCGCTTACAAATTGATCATTTTGAGACAGTAACGCCATCTTTTCCCTTTTTTTCCAGCGTAATCTCGTCGTCCCCACCCCTACCCCCATGACCATCTAGATGGGAGAATTCCTTTTCAAACAATGACTACGAAGTCCTTCTTGGACCTGGAAAAGAGGGTTCTTCTTTTGGACCAGCAGCTATATTCACCGATTTCTTGCTTCAATTTTGGAATTGATGTTTCCTTTTTTTTCATTACCGCTTCCTTTCGTCAAGTACTATTTTGAAACAAACGGAGATAGCGATTCTGAAGGTCTGCT